GATATAGCCTTATATATTGCAGTTATAGCACTTAGGGTTCCAAAGTTTTTTGTTATTAGGTTTGGTCATCATGCTGAGATCTATAGGTCTGCTGTGTTATCTATAGGCGGTGCTCTGGCGGGTGTTATTCCAGTTGTTGCAGGGTCTGTTGTCATTCCGCTGGCTGTTGAACTTCTGTTGAGGCTGCTATTAGTACTTACGTCCTGAATTCAGGTTTTGTTATTTCTCTCCTTATTCCTTTTGTCGTTTATAGAGGTGGTTGTCAACCTTAATAGTATGTTCAACATAGGCGAGGAAGCTAGGAGGTGTCTCCAGTTTAGCTATTTCGTCTTTAACATCATCCTTAAGTCCTTGATAAAAGGCAAAAACTTTGCTTTCGTCAGTCATATAGAGTCTTGCAGCTAATCGCCTAAACTCTGCGGCGTAGAGCGTAGCTGACTTAGTTTGTTATAGGTAGGATAGGTCTCACTCAGCCTGTCTTCGTTTATTAGGGTTAAGGAAGAGAGATTCTAGGGCCTTAATATAGCCTGTGAAGCTGAAGAAGATGTCCTTGACTTCTTGGCTGTATTTTTCGATAGGGTTGTTAAGCTATTCCTGTTGAAGGGGTTCAAACCAGGCAAGGGCTCATCCCTGAAGGAAGGTGGCTGTATATATAATACGTTTAGTGTCGTTCTAGAAGGTGTTTATATAGAAGGCCTGGTAGGTTCAAACTTATACCAGGTGTCCTTTAAGTTGTCCTGGGGTCCTGTTGAAAGTGGAAGGCGTGTTAAGCTTGAGGCGTTCTCATCCTTCGACTGGGGCGGATATGACGTTAGCGGCAGCTTGGAGGGTGGCGACTTCTTTCTCCAGATCCTGGTTCTTGCGGGCTTATTCCTGGAGTTCGCTAAGGGCTGCTGCGTTCTGGTTGAACATTTCGCGCATTGCCTTGAAGTCGCTGTTAGTCTTATTGAGCTGGCGCTTAAGTTTTTCGGTGTCATCCTCGCTGTCTAAGTCGTCCTTCATCTTCTGGTCTCCTAGTTCCTAGGCTAGGTTTTAGGTGGCTCGTCCTCCTGAAGTGGACGAGGATCCCAGGGTAGGCGACTTGACAGAGGCGTGGGAAGATATTGTCGTTCTTTACTGTTAGTAGGAATCAATAGTCAACTTACTGAACAGGAGCAATTAAAGTGTTACGGTCAGCTATCCGACAGTAGGGTCTGCTAACAGAAGCTGGGGATTGATACGTTCTAACGGTATACTAGGTCGTGGTCGTAGGTCGTAGTTCGTAGGCTGTAGTAGATTGGTTCTTCAGAGGCTAAGGTGATCAGTCTTAGACTCAATAAGTGATTCGCAGTGAAGGTAAGCTGAGAGTATCCGTGAGGATGAATACTAAGTTGATTGCTGAAGAGCTATGGAAGTCTGACCATAAGCCAGGCTCAGGGTCATACTATATATAAGTTCTGAACAGTACCCTTTACTCTATCACTGATCCCTTACCAGGTACCAGTGAGCGCTCATTGACTGTTGGTGAGCGCTCAGTAGCTTCGACTGAGCGCTCAGTGATCCACACTGCCTGCTCAGTCTTATCTTATCATCACGTGACTTATACTATAGTTCTTCCGTCTCCGAGTGAGTCCCTGTTGTTCCTGTGATCCTGCAGTATAAATGTCCTGTCCTAGCCGCCCGACGCCCGAGTGGGTCGTTCAGCTGTTATCCTTGTTTACAGGTCGTAACAATTTTGTATACTTAGTTATACTGAAAACAAGGGGAATAAGGTATTATATTATAACTATAGTAATCAACCAGAGCACTAAAAGCTTTATAGTTATACTGAATCTTAGTATAATAAGTCTCATAAGAATCTGATTTCTAGATATAACTGTTACGACCCGTTATGCATGGATAACAGTTGACCGACCCACTTAGGCGTCGGGCGGCTAGGACAGGACATTTATACTGCAGGATCATGGGAACAACAGGAACTCACTTGGTAACAGAAGAACTATAGTATAAGTCACGTGATGATAAGATAACGATCATATTAGATCAATATGATCCAACACAACTTAGGGGCTAAACGATCATTCTGGATCGGAATGATCCAGATCAACCTAAGGTATAAAGGAACATATTCAGAATTAGACTTATATATAGTATAACCCTGAGCCTAGCTTATGGTCAGACTTCTATAGCTCTTCAGCAATCAACTTAGTATTCATCCTCACAGATACTCTCAGCTTACCTTCACTGCGAATTACTTATTAAGTCTAAGACTGATCACCTTAGCCTCTGAAGACCGATCTACTACAGCCTACAACCTACAACCCAGACCACGACCCCAGTGTACTGTTATAACGTGTCAATCTCCAGCTTCTGTTAGCAGACCCTACTGTCGGATAGCTGACCGTAACACTAGATGCGGGAACCTAAGGAGACACTTCTCTTACAAGAAGGAGTATGCACCGACTTCGTCGCAAAAGGCTATGTCTGCCGTAGCTGTAACCTTGAAATAAATATTAAGGAGGTCTGTTGCCCACTAGAATAAGGGGTTATATATCTTGATGAAGACTGAATCACCCACGCTAAGGTGCCTCTGTTTCGCAGGGGCCTGAGTGACTCTACATAAGAGGTTATGAGGACCAGGAAAATCGCCTCTACCGCGGTTACCTGGTATCATCTTGACAATGACGACGTGCAGCTGTTCGTCTTTGACTTTCTGCTTTTCTTGGTCGAAGCGAAGGGGTTTGTTATTTTCACTGAAAACCAGTTGAGTTTGGGAGAAATTCTTCTCTTCATCGGTCGGTCCCATGTCGGCAGGTTTAAGATCGAAAGGATCTGGGTAATGGTGTCCCCACGGTTTCGGCGCTTCATGAGGAGTGAGAACCAGGCTACATCGTGGAGAGTAGAGAAAATCGCGGTCTCCAGGAATGAAGGCGTCGTCGGGCATATGGTCCATGGCGTGCGTTTGCTGCAAGGATAGCTTACAGAAATGTCAGTACATGAAGGCTAGAATAAACCCCAATGAAAACTTTCGAAGTGAGGTAACTGACAGCTGAGTTGATGCAGATGGAAAGAGGAGTCTCTATATATAATGTGAGAAGGTGTATCTCCGAATGGAGTTTGAAACTACGACAAGTGCTACTGAAAGTTTAGAAAGTAATATGAGAAAGGCGGAAAGAAAAAGCAAAACCAAAAGGTCAAAACTATGAAACCTTTTAGCGTTAGATTGCTAATTCCTAACATAGATGGTAGATATATTTCTAAGCTTTGTTCTTGTAGTCACGCGTTATTGGGCATTTAAAAGAGTAGGCCTGATGTTCCTTTCTGCTTAGGTAATTACATTTCCTATGTACAGACGACAACGACGACGACGACGATAAACAGCGACCAGATGACGAAATTAGTAATGACGATAGCGACGAAAATAGCAACGATAGCGAGCACACAGAAAAAATAGTCGCTCTAGCGCAGGAGAATTAGGGGTCTGATTCAAAAGGTAGGTACCTTCCGGCGCGTGGCTCCTGACGTGGGGCGAAGCGGAGCGGAAGGAACGAAACGGGAATTCCCAACAGCGGCATTCACAGCGCTCGGATGTAAATCAACATGAGGAATCTCCTCGCTACTTGAGCGAAGCCTTGAAGCCTTTGTGGGTTAGTCAATTGAAGGTGTGGAAAATGGAAAATATTGCGAGGCACCGAATTCGGTACTTTCCCCCTCATGAAACGCCGCGGCAGTTGTGCAAGTACCTCTATGGGTGGGCACATGCGACTGCCAGCGACCTATCCGCTCATGTGTATGTGTTGCTCAAAGCCCGGGCTGTTCGCTTCACAAGCTGGGTGGCGATTCTTAGCGCTAAGATTGCCATCATAGCCCAGATTACTGTTCTACTGAACGAAAAAGGAGGAAGTGCTCGGGGTTCCCCTCATAACATACCCTAGAGAGCCTACGGGGAGGGCTGTGGATGCTGCAGATACTGTGGTGGAAATGAAATGGATGCAGATAATCCATGAGACTATGAGGAGAGCTTTATGTTTCAAGACATCACGTTGTAGCCACTTGTTTCCAATGACCTGCCTTTGTTTAGCTGTGACGTGACTGCTTCTGGCTTTCCCTACCACTGGAAAGCATATTCTCAAACTAGGCTCCAAGTCTGGATATCCATCTTGATATTGCAGACTACGACCCGACCCGTGTTGCGGCCAACTCCGACACTCATGACAAGCTTGCCTTCTGCGGAAGCTCCAAGCATACTAGTCGCATTGACGAACGGAGCATCTGCCTCTGGGACATCATCTACCCGTGCTTCTTCTAACGCGGCCCGGAGCGCACAAGGCCGCTGACCTCACAAGACCTCTACTCGTCCACGAAGCGCGACAAGCCCTTCCACAGGTTCCAAAATCCTACACCGGATAAGTTCAAGTACAGTGCCTTTCTCGCCATTTCATACTGGGACCGCGGTCGGATTCCCGTCGACGGCATCAAGACCTACAAGAAGAGCCCCGACCTGAGGCACCCCAATAGAGAATAATAAGAACGTGTACCTCTACCACCAAGCAGCCAAGGAAATCTCTGTCGAGGCCACGAAGCACGAATTAAGCACGGAAAGCCAGAATGTCGCCATCATAAACTGGGATGTCATGCTCCTGTTTCATTCCCACCAGATGAGCGATTCCGGGGAAACGGGCGACACATGGCACACGAGTGCTGGCGACGAGCTCTTTATTGAGAACAGCGGAGGTCAACGCCTTGGTTGCTGGATTGAGGTGAGAAAATGAGAGACTGGGAGAAGATGGGACATCAATGGAGTAGAGGTGGAAGGTGCAGGGTGGCCATTTCTCCATGCTGAACCCGCACCCTTGGAGTTCCCAGACCTAGAACAATCTTTTCAAACCTGGATAGTCCTAGTTACAAATAATTTTCATAACCCTCGAAAATGTAATTTTGACTCTTCTGTCACCTCCACAAAGCAATCACTCATCATTTACTCCCGCACTCGCGAAATATACCACACATTCTCTTCAACGATGAATTCAGTCACCCTGAAGCCAGTGACCCAATCCAGGGTCGCGGACATCTCGGATCGGCTCCCAGTCTTGCTGCTCGAGCGTAACCAGTGGCCCGCGAGCTACGTCAAGTCGCACGTGAAAAAGTCCCCCGCCTGCATCACATCCCGCAAAGGCACGCAGTTGCCCCTGGAGTTGTGGCTCGATATTATCGAGATTGTTGAATATGCACCTGACTACTGTGCTCTTCTGCAGCCAGTCTCAGTTCGCGAGACCAACGGTCGATCTCTCCTCGTTTGCGTCGAGATAACCGATTGGGATACTTGTGGAGAACTCAAGTACACATGGGCCTACGAACATCATCTCTACAATCCTTACCAGAAAGACGGTTACGTGAAGATGAAGGAAGGTGATGAAGAGCCCCGACCCATGGAGAATACCTGAAGTCACCCCAGACAACGAAATTTTAATCGACCTTGGCTCCGTTCCTGAAGAAGAGGACCAGCTTGTTGGAATCTGGTGCGACGTCGAGGTCAGACACATCATTGCATTCATGGAAGGGAGAAACTGCTCGACTTGCGGTGAACTACGCTGGTTGTACACAGCAAGCAGACAAGGCTGGGAGATCCAGGATACCCACAGGTTCGGGGCTTGTTGGCCTGACGATGGTGGAAGCTACTTTCTCTGCCCGCGTTGTTGTGGCGAGGACGCCATGGATGTTTGTGTTGATATCATGCGGATGATAGACCGGGAGGGCTATGAGAGCGACGACGAAGAGGTTAAGAAGCTAGATAAGTGGTGCGATGAACGTCTTGAGGAGCTCAAATACCGTAGGCACAGGTTCAATTACTGGCTGCCTTGAATGCGGTATGGCAACTGTATCTGCCGTGGTGGCGTTTATTTCTCCAATGTCATCGCCCTCGTCGTTGTCGTTCTCGATCGATATCTCTACTAGCCAATCTTACTGAGATTTAACGAGTTTTACGACTTCATGAAATAAATGGTGATGCTCACAATGGTGTTGTGATAAAAGACACGTACCAGGCGGCTGAATTAGAGTTCTGGCGACAGCTACAGGGCAGACCCGCGGGGTACCTCAGTGGTGGCAGGCCGTTGCGGTTACGTGCAGCAGCTCCAGTCATCATCCAGGTCGGGCAGCCAATGGGAGAAGCTACAGCGTCCCCACCAGCGCTGGTCTAGCCCCCGCGTCCGAACGTTCAGCGGATGTTTCTCTCCGCGACAGGCACTAACGACGGGACGCCAATGGCACAGGGTTCCATTGCGAAGCCGTGTCGTCATGGAACATCGACTGACCTCATCCGACCTCAGCTCTCACCTCACGGATACGTAGCCCGCGCACGCCTTCGATGGCCCAGGGCGAACGCCGATGGCGGGGGGAGCTACAAGAAGTGTCATGAGCTCCTGCCTTCGCCAATGCGTCCAACATGCGACCTGCCGCACGCTCGCCTGCCTCAATTGGCGCCCTTAGACAGCGATGAGATCATCTCTTCCGTGCCGCCTCCGCCTCGCCGCGAGATATAACAGCAACATCAACAACCTCACCCCATCCTCTTCGCTGTCCTTTTCCAGATCCATTACCACTTGTGCTGACCTGAGTTATTCGAGAAAAGCACCGCGCAACGCACCACTTCGCCCAATTCCACCACTGCACAACCAAACCAGAATGTCGTCTCAAAAGACCGCCGGCCCAGAGGGCAACGACCTCTTCACTCGCAGCCACCTCTTCGACCTCACCGGCAAAGTCGCCCTTGTCACCGGCGGTGGCACCGGCATCGGTCTCATGGCAACGCAGGCCCTCGCTGCCAACGGCGCAAAAGTTTACATCACCTCCCGCAACCGCGAGAAGCTCACCAACACCGTCGAGACCTACGGCAAGAACATCGCCGGCCAGATCATTCCCATCCAGGCCGACGTCACCAAGAAGGACGATATTGAGATGCTCGTCCAGGAAATCACATCCCGCGAAAAGGTTCTCGATATCCTCGTCAATAACGCCGGTGTTTCCAGCTCCCCAGTCGAGGTCGAGAGCGACGACGCTCATGACATGAAGAAGTCCCTTTTCGAGAGCGACAAGGCCGACTTTGAGGACTGGACTGAGGTCTACAAGACGAACGTCGCGGCCGTATACTACGTGGCCGCCTCGTTCCTGCCCCTGCTGCAGAAGGCCACTGAGGTACAGCAGGGCTGGTCCTCCACCATCATCAACATCAGCAGCATCAGCGGCATGATTAAGAAGTCGCAGCATCACTTCTCCTACAACGCATCCAAGGCCGCCACCATCCACGTCAACCGCATGCTCGCCGAGGAGGTGGCCTCCAACGGCCTCAAGATCCGCATCAACAGCATCGCGCCGGGCGTCTTTCCCTCGGAGATGACCACCAAGAAGCCATCCGACGATCAGCAGAAGAGCGAGATCCCCAAGGAGAAGTACGCGGAGAAGGTGCCGGCGCAACGCCCGGGCAAGGATGAGGATATGGCAGCTACGGTGCTGTACTTTGCGTGCAATCAGTACCTGAACGGACAAACACTTGCTGTTGATGGAGGATATACCCTGGCAGCTGGCTTGTAATGAGAACAATCTGTTTGGAGTGCGGCGTGGCTTGGAATCGGCCCAGCTTTATGAGCTTGGCATGTAGAAGGCGGAATCAAAAGCGGCTTTACGATTTCAAAGAAACATGATTCTCACAACCTGCATCTGTTTTTCCAGAGAAATCCGCCCAAACTCCGCGCGGACTTGAGTCATCTAACAGATGGGACTTTGGTCGTCTAACAGATGGTTAGATAGCAAGCTGACAGGGGATAGCTGCAGGAAGTCATGCAAGGTAAGCACGCTTGTTGAAGCCTGGCACTTTTGTTGTCTAGATTGGCGGGGCTGGCTGGCGCGTCGCTCTATCAACCAACAATCTGGCCTGTGATGGGAATCGATGTTGTCCGCATTCTGGTGGAGATTGTCATCGAAGGAAATGCTGCGCGATGCACACAAGGGAATGGGTCTTTATCTTCCGCCGTCCCCTCCCTCTTTTTCACCGATTTCTCAACAAATGAGTCGTCCCTCACTATCTACACTTTTCAATCCATAGCGCCCGTCAACATAAACCAGCCCCGCCAAAATGGTGCTCGCTTCTCTGCGCAACTTGCGCTCGCAGTGGTTTCCGCCAGCGCACACGTTCACCGAGGACAATGTTCCGCCGCAAGATGGCCGCGTCTTCATCGTCACCGGGGGCAACGCGGGTGTCGGCTTCGAGCTTGTGAAGATGCTCTACACCACGGGCGCCGCCATCTACATGGCGTCAAGATCCAAGGTTACTTTCGACACCCACATCAGAGGGCTCATCGGCATCTGCCCGTCGCATTATCAACTCCCACTCCATCGTTCTTGACACTAACCACCTACAACAGGAACGAGCCGAGAAGGCCATCGAGACAATCACCACCGCCTCCCCAGCCCCCCAAACCCCTGGACGCATCAAGATTCTCCTCTTCGACCTCAACGACCTCGAAAGCGTAAAGTCCGCGGCCGCATCCTTCGCGCAGCAGGAATCAAAACTCGACGTCCTATGGAACAACGCTGGCACCGGCGGCTACGGCGTGAAACCCGGCGCGACAACAGTACAGGGCTTCCAGGCCATGGTCGGAATGCACTGCATCGCCGCCCAGCTCTTCACCCACCTCCTCATCCCCCACCTCCGCACAGCCGCCACAGCCGCTCCCACGGGCTCGGTGCGCGTAGTCTGGACGTCCAGCTTCCTCGCCGAAGGCGGCACGACCACCAACGGCATCGACTTTGACACTCTGGAAAGCGGCACCCCGGACCTCGTGCAGAACTACGCCGTCTCGAAGCTTGGCAACTGGATGCTCGGCCGCGAGATGGCGGTGAGGTACAGGGCCGACGGCATCGTCAGCGTGGCGCAGAATCCGGGGAACATCAGGGCGGGGTCGTACGCGGGGACGCCGGGGTGGGTCATGATGCTTATCGGGCCGCTGATGTACGAGACGAAGCTGGGCGGGTGCACGGAGCTGTATGCCGGGTTGTCGCCGGAGGTGTCGCTGGAGACGTCGGGGTGTTATGTCATTCCCTTTGGCCGGATTCGGGCGGATGAGGATTGTCCGAGGAAGGACCTTCTCAACGCTATGAAATCTGAGGCTGAGGGCGGGTTGGGGTATGCTGCGAGGTTTTGGGACTGGTGTGAGGAGCAGTGGAGGCCGTTTGTTTAGGCTGGTCGCTGCTTTACGAGCCTGGCTGTTGGGAATGGTCAGCATTGCGGTCATCGACGGCATTGATGTGGATGAACGTGAAAGAGCGGATACCCAGCCTGGCCACTCTTCACGTCTTTCCTTTTCTTCATTGGAGCATTCTGAATTTTGACAGCTAAGGCCGTCTCCATCTCTGGCTTCAAATCACCTCTCTGATTAGGAGCGCATATGCAACAACCACCCCGAATACCCTGAGTTATGAACGGCACAGGATGGGCAAAGGCTGGGCGAACTCGTTATCAATTTTCATTGACATTTTAATTTGGAAAGGGCCGCGTGGTTTTGCTTCATCGCACTCGTCCTTCTTTGCTTCTAACTTTGCCTGTGGCCATACCTTTTTGACTGTTGTTTGACAGGAACCGGACGAATCATCGCTCCTGCATATTCCTTACGTTGCTCAACTGCAAAATGCCACAATTCAGTCTCCAGTATCCCGAAGCAGCTTATCTTGTTGGTCATTGTCTCCTACGACTCGACGCATTCGACTCCGTGGAAGCTCACGGTCGTTTTCGAAGCCAAGAAAAGGAAATGTGAGCACGCTGCCCTAAGGCTGTGTGACAAGCAAATTGGGTTTCATCAACAGCCCAATCTATACTCAGGGCCTCCAAAACGCAATAACATTAAGTCGGACTTCATCAACTCAACCACGAATTAGACTTCTGTTCAACAGGGGCTCCCCTCCTAAATAACAGCGCCCCCGTTTGGGGGCATGAACAACAACTTTACTCGGGCCGGTTGACAGGACGCCAAGTCCAATGTTACCGTTGAAGTTAACAGTGCAGTACCCAAGAAACGGCGGCATCCCGCATGCCGCACAAGCTTTACCTAGTTGAACATAGCCTTCAGTGCATTAGTCAATTGACGATAACCATAGGAAAGCTATACCGCCTGATCCGTCTCGTTCAGCTGCCAAGCTGGCCAAGAAAACAGCAGAGTCAAGATGCATTCAAAGAAAACATCAAAAGGAGTAACTTCGTAGGCGGTTCATTGCGTTAAGGCAGGACGGGAAGCAGTACCCGCTCCCATTGAAAGTGAGGCGGATCTGCCTCACACAAATTGAGCGAGTTAATCATCGTGATCAACCGAATCCTTCCGCAATAAGAGAGGCCCCCAACCAGTCATGTCGTGGCACCGTCTGAACAAAGCCCTTGTTTCCGATCATTCAAGTC